CATACATACATACATACATACATACATACATACATACATACATACATTTCCTAACATTTAATCTTAAAATAAGCCATACTCTGTTCAAAATGTCAAAATTAAGGAAGGACACTGATCCACACAAGATTCAGTAAATGAGTGGAAATTGTTTTTTCCAAACCAATATATGTTTTAGCTTCTACTTATTGCATCAAAATGTAACAATATAAGAAACAAATTATGCTACTACAACACAACCACAGAAAATGCCTAATTCTCCATTAAGAAATGTAGGCATTTTGATTTCCTGGGGTTCGCAACAATATACACAGTATTTAATTCTTCATGAATCTTCCTGACCCTTCCACATTTCTGAATAGATCCATGAGTTGTATCACAACTGTCACATTCATAGTAGAGCAACTGAAGAAGATAAGTGGACAGCCACTGAAATGTGTTTGACATATCTATACTTATAAAATCTGAGCATCAAAATTTGATGCATTTGGACAATCCCTGGGAGAAAGTCCCAACTCTTTAAATGGCCATAAACAAATGCTGTCATCTAATCCAAACCATGGTGAGGAGGACCTTGTAAAGCCCAATAATCATTCCTAGAAAATGCTGGGGGGGGTGGGGACAATGGAAACAAGGGTGGGACATTTTGAAAGGCAAGAATCAGTTTGGTGTAGCAATTAAGGCATCAGGCTAGAAACATGGAGGTTTATGAGTTCTAGTCCCACCTTAAATGTGAAATCCACTAGATGATCTTGAGACAGTTATTCTTTCTCAGCCCCAGGAAGGAGGCAATGGCAAACCACTTCCAAAATCTTGTCCCCCCCCCCCCCCCAATGGCAGTGACTTGCCCAGGCAGTCGCTAGGCATCAACCCAAATTTGAAGGTACCAGGAATGAATGAATGAATGAATTTATGAATGAATGAATGAATGAATCTGAAAGGCAATATGCTTGCAAGATCCCCTGCCTTGATCTTCACAGTCTCAAGACATAGGTAGGGAAGGGTCCTGTACCAGGCTCAGAGGATAATAGTAATAGTAATAATAGTAATAATAGTAATAATAGTAATAGTAATAATAATAATAATAATAATAATAATAATAATAATAATAATAATA